CAAGATAGTGAAGTACAGGTAGTCCTTGTCTTATGACCACAACTAAGCCCAAAATTTCTGTTGCTAAGTGAGACAAGTGAATTTTGCCCCATTTCCCAACCTTTCTTGTCCCAGTTAAGTGAATCGCTGTTAAGTTAGTAACATGGTTAAATGAATCTGGCTTCCCCATTGCCTTTGCTTGACAGAAGGTTTCCAAAGGGGATCACATGACTCCAGGACACTGCAACCATCATAAATATGAGTCAGTTGCTAAGCATCTGAATTTTGATCACTTTACTGTCTCACTTAGCAACAGAAATTTTGGGCTTAGTTGTGGTCATAAGACAAGGACTACCTGTACTTCACTATCTTGGTCAGTCTTTTTTCTGTATCATTTTGCCTGGGTATTAAAAATTTATTCTGCCCCTTATTGAGATGAGCAGCCCCAGATACCTAGAATTTGTGTGTTTCCATTTTTAATTAAAAAAAACAAGACAAAGCTTTTTTTAACATTTCAGATTTTGGATTATTGCAAGGGCTGTGCAGTGCTTCAAAGGTTTGAAAGAAAGGCTTGATAATCAACTTCAGAGCAGCACCCCTTGATAACTTGTTAAAGCAGCTACATCTTTTTTTCCTGATTGCATAGGAACCTTTGCTTGGTTAATTTTACAGATCTATATTTGATGGCTTCCCTGCAGGTCTGATTGAAAGGCAAAAAAGTGCTTCTGAGCATATGGAATCATCCACACAGCATGTACAGGTAGTCCTCTACTTATAACCACAATTGAACCCAAAATTGTTAAGTGAGACATTTGTTAAGTGAGTTTTGCCCCATTTTATGACCTTTCTTGCCACAGTTAAGTGAATCTGGCTTCCCCATTGCCTTTGCTTGTCAGAAGGTCGCAAAAGGGGATCACATGACCCTGGGACACTGCAACAGTCATAAATATGAGTCAATTTTGATCACAGGATTGTGCCACAGGTGGCACACAGAGCCATATTTGCCAGCACATGTGCCGGCCAGCTGATTTTTGGCCTTCCAGAGGGCCGGGGGAGGCTGTTTTCGCCCTCGCCAGGCTTCAGGAAAACCTTGGGAGCCTGGGGAGGGTGAAAAACGGGCCAATGGGCAAACCAGAAGTTTGTTCCCGAACCTGTACTGTACTGTATTCCAATACAGATAGTCCTCAAATTCTGATCACAATTGAGCCCAAAATTTATGTTGCTAAGTGAGACATTTGTTAAGTTTTGCCCCATTTTATGACCTTTCTTGCCACAGTTAAGTGAATCACTGTGGCTGTGAACTTAAAGTGACCATGGGATGAGATGCTGCAATGGTCATAAGTGTGAAAAACAGCCATATGTCATCCTTTTCAGTGCTGTTATAACTTCAGTCACTAAACAAATGGTTTTAAGTTGAGGACTACCTGTAGTTGCCAAGAGAAATGCAGGGAAGGGCAAGAAAATTGGTTTTTTTCCAGATGTTCTGGGTGTGAAATGAAGGCTTCTTCTATAGGTTGAAGTAGATCTCTGTTCTAAATCTAAGGCTACTTTAAGCCAAAAAAAAAATGTTGGTGAGCAACTGAGCCTTTATTTCTATTGAAAGAGATCCTTTCTCCTTCCTGTGCTACACTTTCCCCTCAAGTATCATAAATTCCCACCTACCATTTATAATTTTAAGGAGGGTCTGGATAGCAAAGAACACTGGTCCTCTTAAAACCCACATACACTATCTGTATTCTATTAATTGCAGGAGTGAGAAAACCACACCCAGGTTTTTTAATACAATGCTGTATGGCCATCTGTAAATAAGATAAATGCTTGTTTTCTGACATTTCAGGAATTGGATAGGCCCTGGTTGTTTTGCCTGAGTAGCTCAATTAACACACAGCAATCTCTCTGAAAATGCAATTCGCTGCCTAGAACAGCTAATCGGCGGTATTCCAGGAGGCGATCCAACTGCCAATCAGCTGATAGGCAGCGAAGGCTCTAGCGTTCCACGGCGGCAGCAACTCAGCTCAGTTGACTGGTGGTGGATTCAACGGAGCGGAGCCCTGGCGAGCCACGTGTTGGGGCTGCGATAACGTGCTGAAGTTGATCAGGCTTGTTTGCTGTTTGTTGCAAGGACGCTAGCCAGATGAATACTGGATGGATGCTGAGAGGCAGAGGCAGATTTTTTTTTCTTGTTTTCCTCCTCTAAAGCTAATGTGTGTCTTATGGTCCAATGCGTCTTATAGTGTGAAAAATATGGTAATTACAGCCAATAAACCTCAAGTGACCTGTTCTGTCTTTTAGGAGTGACATGGTTTTCACACCCGTATCTATCAACATCCTTATGTATTTTGACCATTTTATTGTAGTTTCATAGAATGTGCTCATTAAAATAATTGTATATTTGAGTAAACTGCCTGTCTCCTGCTAATACCTGTTGCTCTCTGTGTATACATGGCAATTTAATCTGCAGAAATACTGCCTTCTAAGCTACTGTTGACATGGTCAACCTCTTTTTTGAACCTCTATTGCCACAAGCTGACTACAAGTAGACATCTAGTTATGACCACAATTGAGCCCAAAATTTCCCTTGCTAAGCAAGGCTGTTAAGTGAGTTTTGCCCCATTTTACAATCTTGTAACCATCCCTGCAGTTGTTAAGTTAGAAGCATGGTTGTTACAGTGAGGGGAAAAAGTATTTGATCCCCTGCTGATTTTGTACATTTGCCCACTGACAAAGAAGTGATCAGTCTGTATTAATGGTAGGCTTGAGCTGCCAAATGTCAGCCTTGAAACCTTAATGACTTGGAGAGGATCTCCAAAGAGGAGTGAGACAAAATCCCTCCTGAGATGTGTGCAAAGCTGGTGGCCAACTACAAGAAACGCCTGACCTCTGTGATTGCCAACAAGGGTTTTGCCACCAAGTACTAAGTCATGTTTTGCAAAGGGGTCAAATACTTATTTCACTCATTAAAATGCAAATCAATTTATAACTTTTGAAATGCGTTTTTCTGGATTTCTGTGTTAATCTGTCTCTCACTGTTAAAATAAACCTACCATTAATACAGACTGATCATTTCTTTGTCAGTGGGCAAATGTACAAAATCAGCAGGCGATCAAATACTTTTTCCCTCACTGTAAGTGAATCTGGCTTCCCCATTGTCTTTGCTTGGCAGAAGGTTGCAAAAAGCGATCACATGACCCCGGGACACTCCACTCCGTCATAAATCCAAATTTTGATCACGTGACCATGGGGATGCTCCAACGGTCATAAGTCACTTTTTTCAATGCTCTTGTAACTTTGAATGGTCACTAAACAAATGGCTGTTAGTTGAGGACTACCTATGAATATGTACATGAGAAATAATTTCCACTCAGTTCACAAGGGCTATTAATGTATACCTTTGGGTTTAGCTATGATCATGATGTTTTACTGAGCTAATAGTCTTGACTCCCTTTGTCTCCTAGATTTTCTTGGCCAGTGGGTGAACAACATCCTCAAAAATGGGAAATATTTTTGCCAACCTTTTTAAAGGCCTCTTTGGCAAAAAAGAAATGCGTATTCTTATGGTTGGACTGGATGCTGCAGGAAAAACTACTATATTATACAAGCTTAAACTCGGTGAAATAGTAACTACCATCCCTACTATTGGTAAGAATTCAAGCATCTCTTAATTGTAACTAATTCTGGGTTTAAAATGAAATATGGGTACGTGTCAGCCTCTAGCTTGCTTGCTTGCTTGCTTGCTATTGGCTGCCATAGTATGGGGTGAGGGGCTTAGGTATTTGGGAGGGGAAGCGTGCTGGTGGAGATGTCTCATGAAGAAGAGGGAGGATTGGTCCCATCATCTACTGCGCAACTGAATGGACTTGTTTATGCCCAGTCAAAGTCAACTATCCCTGCATACCAGATGGATGAAGCCACCTGAAGATAGAGTGGCACCTCATACTTCGATTACCCTGGCTACGGAAATGGAACCCTCATGTGAATTGGAGGAAGGGTTTGCTGCGCATCTGTTCCACCCCGTTAGGAAAAGGGGTTGGGAAACCCCTCTGCATAGCTAAACCCACGAAGGAATTGGCAGCTGCAGTGAGCAAAAGCATTGCGGGGGAGGAGAAAATCCCTAAGGAATATTAAGACCTCAGGGAGGCATTCAGCTCCCACCGTGTCACCCCGCAGACCGCAGTATAGAAATCCTCCCAGGGGTGAGACTCCCTAAGCCAAAGATTTACTCGATGACCTCACGTGAGCTGGAGCAATTGCTAAAACTTTATTGATAAAAACTTAAAACGGGTTCATCCAACCAGCTAGTCCATGGGTAGCTGCCCTGGAGGTGTTTCAAGGAAAAAAAAGATTGCTCTCTGTTTGTGCGTTGACTACAAAAATTTGAACACCATTTGCGTAGAAATTTTTTACCCATTACCCCTCATGAAGGACATGTTAGCTCATCTGGCCAACAAGAAAATCTTCCCTAAGTTTGACTTAAGGGAAGCTTACTACAGAGTTCGAATTAATTACCCTTTGGGTTGTTTCCAGTGTAGGGTGCTCCCGTTCGGACTTCAGGGGGCACCAGCTGTGTTCATGCAGTTGATAAATGAGGTGCTGCATGAACATCCTTACAAGGGGTTTTTAGTTTACCTTGATGACATTCTCATCTACACTGAAACCTTAGAGCCCTGATGGCAAACCTATGGCATGTGGAGCGATATTTGCTGGCACAGCAGCCCTCAGTGCCAGCGCTCATGGAGGGCCAGGGAAGGCCGTTTTCGCCCTTCCCCGGCTTCAGGAAAGACTCTGGATCCAAGAGAGGGAGAAAAATGCCCCAATGGGCAAACTGGAAGTTCATTCTTGAACTTCCGGTTGGGCTGTTTTTTGCCCTCCCCAGGCTCTGGAGGCTTTCCTAAAGCCTGGGGAGGGCAAAAATGCCCTCCCTGGGCTGGGGGAGGCGGTTTTCAGGAAAGCCTCCAGAGCCTGGGGAGGGTGAAAATCCCCCCCTCCCCGGCATGGCGGTCACTCACGCATACGCGGTGGGTCGCTCATGCGCGATAACATGCGCACAGACAATTTTTGAACACCTTTAGGAAAAGGTTAGCCATCACTGCCTTAGAGGAACATGTGAGAATCATGCACTCTGTCCTGAAAAAACTCAGAGCTGCTGAACTGTATGCCAAATTGTCAAATAATTTCACCAGGAAAAAATTGACTATTTGGGTTACCACATATCACATGAGGGTATTGAAATGGACCCAGAGAAGGTCCAGGCAGTCATGGAGTGGGCGCACTCCCGCACCTGCAAGCCAGCTACAAAGCTTCCTAGGTTTTGCCAACTTTTACCGACAATTCATCCCCTCATTCGCTAGGATTGCATTGTCCATTACTTACGTCCTAAAGACAAATGGAGGAGTAAAGCCAAAACCTAGTCGCCCCCTGGAGTGGACCATGGAGTGCCAGGCTGCATTTGAGAAACTGAAAACAATGGTTTACAGCTGAGCCCTTCCTAAAACATCCCAACATGGATGCCCCTTTTGTGGTCCAAGCTGATGCCAGTGACGTGGCTGTGGGGGTGGTACTACTTTAAGCTAATGCTGCTGAAACCTTGCAACCTTGTGCCTACACCTCCCGGAAATTAACTGAAACCAAAAGGAGGTGGGCAATTTGGGAGAATGCAGTGGTCCAGTGGGTCCTGTTAACCTGGAGGTATTTCCTCAAAGGGGCAAAACACCCTTTTGAGGTCTGGACGGACTGTAAGAACCTTGAGGCCTTGAAAACACCCCAGAAGTTGTCACCCAAGCAAGTTCGCTGGGCATAACACTTTAATCAGTTCAATTTCTCTCTACGCTACCTTCCTGGGTGAAAAACTTTTATGGCAGATGCCCTATCCAGACTGCCCCAATATAATAGCACCCGGCCGGAAGTGATCCGCCCAGTCATCCCCTCCAAGTAATTGGCTGCTCCCGTGGTAACCAGAGCCCAGGGAAAGGTTGACGACCTATCCACTGATCTAACCTGGCGGCTGAAGGAAGCGCTAACAACTGATGACTGGTTCATGTCTCACTCAAACGAATGTACGATTCATGATGGCCTCGCATGGGTGGGGGCTAAGTTGTATGTTCCCGCCAAGCTTAGGGGAGTTGTGTTACAACAGGCCCATGATTCGAAAGCTGCTGGACACTTTGGATTTGTGAAGACATTACATTTAGTTAAACAGTAGTTCTGGTTGCCATCTTTGAAAAAGGACATAGAGACCTACGTGGCTAGTTTCCCTGTTTGTGCTTCTGCAAAGAGGCCTTCTGGGAAGCCACCTGGATTACTCCAGAACATTGCTAGACCTGGTGCTCCCTTGAAAGAGATATCCATGGACTTCATCGTTGAGTTACCCAAGAGCAGTGGATACACAGTCATTTGGGTGGTCACGGATTTGTTCTCCAAGCAGGTGCATTTCGTACTCTGCTCCAAGATCCCTTCAGCAAAAACATTAGCTACACTATTTATTCTGTGGTTCACAAAGCTCCCCTCGTCCGGGACCTAATATTAGACGAGGGGGCAGACCTGGCATGTATTACTGA